TTGACGAAACACTTTTGTTGCTGCTGGCTAACAGGGACTCATAATGGGTTCCGATTCTTTGCACTTTTTGCTCTGTGAGGATAAAGAAGAATAATATGGAGAGTTTTCTAAAATAATGATACACTAAAAAACGCAATCTAATGAACAGAAAAGTGAAATCTAGATCTAACTACATCTCTGTCTCAAGAATATATATAACTGGGAAGTGAATTGTACAAATTAAGATAATTTGACCTTGCGATGCGTTTCAACTTGAGTTACCATGGGATATGAGAATTGCTTGAATGAACTTTAAGAATTTCCTTTTCCTTTTCTCTTTTTATAAGAAAAATAAAATTTAAACCCCTTGATTTTTATGATGTCAAAATTTGTTGTGAAGGTTGTTTAAGTCACTCTAAAAAATAAGATGATGGGATAGGAAAACTTGAAAGGCACGTTGAAATATACGGCTTGCTGCATGAAACCAAGTATATCATGATTTTAAAGGAAAAGAAAGAATTGAATTGTCTTGGGGTTGTAGGCAAATCCAAAAGCATCGAACAAGAATTGTAATAATTAATCTTAAGGGTCTGCTTGAGAGTTTTATGGTAAAGGTTTTGAGAGTAAGTCACCGTAGCGGTTTTAAGGAGTTTTTAGTAGCGGTTTTTAAAACATCCAATCTGTGTTTGAGAGTTTATTTTCTAACGGTTCTGACAGTTTTTTAAAATAATAAATTGGGGTGTACTATGGAATTTTAAAATTAAACAAGGATAATATGATAATATACTTTGTCAAACTAGCTTATAAGTTAAAAAAAAAAAAAAAAAAACTTATAAACTCAAAAAAGTTATAAACAAACAGGTCAGCTTAATTTTGGAGCTTATAAACTAGTTTGACTAGCTTATAAGCTTAGACAAACACTCCCTTAATTCATCACACAATCATTCGAAATCTGTCATTTTAAGAGAATAAATATGCTGCCACAATGTTGGACTTCGCAAATTATCAATATAACAGCATTTCTAAAAAATAGTTTTTTGTTCTTTTCTTCAATCAGTGAAGCAAAGCTATCAAAAACAATCTTTATTTAACAAACTGACAAGGATTCAATCAAATAGAGGAAAAACTACATAATTTTGTAAAACAACTGGTAAAGAAGTGCAGTTAAATTGTATACAGCCTACAGAGGAGTTTACCAGATTAAAAGAACAAAAAGTTGAAGGGGAAAATGAAGAAGAAGGAAAGAAAAACCTTCGTATCTCTAATAAAGGATTAGAAAGCCTAAGATAAAAGATTCAAAAGTATTGTAATGGTTATCTAAAAGTTGAAGATTGAATGGGGTTTGAAGAAATTTTTAAACCAGCAAAGGGATTATTGCATATGAATAATAGTGGAAAGGGGGTTTTTTGGGATAAATTTTTAAACCAGCCAAAACACTCTGATTTGGGGTGTTTTATAAACCCTTAAAAAATATACTATACTGGTTTTGAAGGGTTTTTAAACTAGTCAAAACCAGTCCATAAAAAATCTGGCAAGTAATAGTTTTTAAACACCTCAAAACCAGTCTAATTAAAAACTCCCCAAAACCAGTGAAAAAAAAAAAACTCCCAAATAAACCTTAAGGGGTTGGTTTCCTAAAGATGTTAGCTTCCTTTTTTTAGGTTTTGGGTTTAAATCTTGGAATCATCTACAACAATATTTTAACTTTTAATAATATTATGACTTATCTAATCTTTTGGATATGTAGGATGTTTAATAAACTCTGACGATTAATTGAGGTGTACGTAAGTTGCGAGGATACTTTGGTTATGAAAAACAAAATATTAAAAATATTAAAAGAAATTGTAATAATTGAAGCTTAATGAAGTAATATTTTCTAGTGATTCAACCGTATACATCAATATTATAATTCGTTATCATATATAATTTTATAACAGTTACCATTAGAAATTTAAGTTAATTATCAATATTACTGATTTGGCAAAACACATATAATACACCAATCTATTTAATTTATCTTTTTTTTTTTTAAAATAAAATAATTAAAGTTGTCCAATTGGTGGGTAATGTTTAACTCCCACCTAACAAAACCTAAACCCATTTAAAATAGGCTCAGCAGTTACATATTTTCTTAAGAAAAAACTCAAATAATTCTTTATTTAAATGGATTAATATATAAATAATGAAAGAATTTAAGTTTTAACGTCCACAACACAAGTCCCAGCCTACAAGTAAACAGAAGCAATCGTGTCCGTGTCGGTCAATTAATACGGTGCCGTCTTAATCTGGAAATTCATCTATTATTTTACATTTGTACTTTCTTCTTCGTGTATTCATTCCTTTTCTCTCTTTCAATTCTCAACTTCTCAAGACTAAACGCACAGACAGCGACCTATTTTTGTCCGAAAACTACCGTTTCGTATCAGACATGTCTTACGATTATTCTTCAAGTACATAATCATCGGAGATACTGGTAACTTTTTTTTAACTTTACTAATTAAACCCTAGTTCTTCTCAATTCTTAGGTATTAACTTTGATTTTGGGGTTTTCTATGCTGTGATTGCAGGAGTAGGGAAATCATGTCTGATTACAGTTCACTGACAAGAGGTTCCGCCAGTTCATGATCTCACCATTGGTGTTGAGTTTGGTGCTCGTAGGTTACCATCGATGGCCGTCCTATCAAGCTTCAGATTTGGGACACTGTATGTTACTTTTCTTTTCTGGTGTTTTATTCGCGTTTCTTTGAAAAATTGAATTAACTTAACTAATTATGAACCTCATGTGGGTAGTTATGCTTTTTTTTTTTTTTTTTTTTTTTCCTTCTTCTTTGTGAAAAAAGAAGAGAAAAAATTAGCCGTGAAATTTTTTGAGTACTGAATTTGTGTAAACCTTATATTAGGACCACTATTTGGATAAGGATTTTCCATACCTTCCTGTGCAAACTCCTCCTTGTATGTAGAATCACCCATTGTCAATCAACCATAGGCCAATCATTGTGAATCAATTTAGTGGATAATGTCTGGTAAAAATGTAGTGTTTTCAATCTTGTCATTGGATTTTTTAGATTCTTCCATGTTCTGAAAGTGTATCCACTAACTTACTACTTTAACTGCACATTAGAGGGCAAGAATTTTACATCTTTGTGTTTTAACTTTTGTCATAAAGAAGCTGGTTTTGATGGAGAATAGATTACTCTGTTGATTCCTGTAAGACCCCGCTTCAATGGTTACTTTGTGTTTTTACTTCTATCACCATGAAAGGCCATCGGTTTTAATATCTTTAAGTAAGTTCTGATGAGAACTTGCTGAGGCTGTATGGTGCCTTCTGTTTTGTGGGTTTTGTAGGGTAATTTGGGTATATTTGTGCTTTGTGTCGTATGCAGGTCAAACTTGATGTCTTAGTTTGATCCTTATGTTATTCCCTTGTACATGTACTGTAATTGTGATTGAAATTAATAAATGGAAGAAATAGATGATAGAAAATCATGTTTATACAGTAAGATCCTTTATGTATTTTATTTTTCTTCATTATGCCGTAATTGCTATTCTTGAACATTTTAGTCCTTAGCCAAAGCACCCTTATGCATTACACTTATTCGTAAACTGCGATCCTTGGCTCTATTTCAGGCTGGGCAAGAATCTTTCAGATCCATCACGAGATCTTATTACAGAGGAGCAGCTGGAGCACTTCTGGTTTATGATATAACTAGGTGAGTATGAACCTGCATATACGTGTGTATGTGAGAGAAAGAAAGCGATAGCAAGATTGGAATCGTCCCTTCCCCCTCTCCTCTCTGCAACTTCTCTTTACACAAACTAGTATAAGTTTTGATAGGGCAAATTGGAAATAAATTTCATTACTCTTATGTGGCATATATTTGCTAGATCTTCTACCAGTTCCTTTCCTTTTAGAATATTGGATTTAAACTGAAAACCAAAGTTGTTGTGTTTCCAGGAGAGAGACATTTAATCATTTGGCAAGCTGGCTAGAGGATGCCAGGCAGCATGCAAATCCCAATATGACAATTATGCTCATTGGGAACAAGTGTGATCTTGCACATCGGAGGGCTGTTAGCAAGGAGGAAGGAGAACAGTTTGCAAAGGAAAACGGGCTTTTATTTTTGGAAGCATCTGCAAGAACAGCTCAGAATGTTGAAGAGGTGATTAAATGAACCAAATTTTAAGCAGTCTTTAATTTTCAATTGTGTTGTGTGTGGCTCAAAAACTGCGAAGTTTTATCGTCAATTTATGGAACACGATTGACATGGCAGCTGATCCTTAATTGCTAAATGAGTACCGTAACTATTCTCACAGGCCTTCATAAAAACTGCTGCCAAGATCCTTCAAAATATTCAGGAAGGCGTGTTTGATGTATCCAATGAGGTAACGTTGAAGCACTTTGTTATTCACTGATGTCTTTTTAGTTTTTATTTGGATTTCTGCCAAATCATAGTATGGATTGTTTCAATCTTGTTCGGCGCCCACAAGATACTCTTTATGTCTTATTTTTGTTGATACTAAATCGGAAATTTACCTTACGTATAACCTTTTTTTAAATAATGATTGTAGTCATCTGGAATAAAGGTTGGGTATGGACGCCCACAAGGTCCATCAGGCGCTAGAGATGGAGCAGTTGCTCAGAGAAGTGGATGTTGCAGTTGAATGGAACCAAAATTGAAAGTCTGTAGTTAATCCCTTTCTGGAATTTACATAGGCCTTCTACACACTAATATGGATATATAATCCTCAAAAAAAAAAATGTGATCAAACTTTATGGATGACATTCAATGTATAGATCTTATCTCACCTGTCTTTTGCACTGAATCAATGTCACTGTCCTCCATTCATCTCATTTTAGTGCCCAAAGATTGCTTTATGGGTGTAGTGAATGGTGTTTTTTCTATGGCCAAAAGAATATTGAACCGTGCATATCACAATTCACTTAATTTCCGGGAAGTAAAATGACTTTAAACGACTTCTAATATTAGTTTGGTCAGACCATTTGAAACATAAGTAAAATGCAAAATCTTTGGAGTCTTGTCGACTAAGATTTAGCATGTTTATAGGGGCTAATTCTTGCAGAGCCTCAATTACCAATTCACCATAAAATTTGGGTTTGCACTTTGCAGTTTGCACCCAGAATTTAATACAAAAAACAATTCTAATAGAAAATTTACTAAAATGCTACACATTACGAAAAGGTAAAATATGTTCCTAACAAGGCGCCCATTACATTGCTGTGGGATATCGAAGAATTGTAATAAAAATACTATGTGCTCCTGATATGTTACAATTCTTCACAAACCGGACTTGTAAAAACAAACCAGTTAACAATACCTCATCTCGTGTATAAATATTCCGGCATTCTGTATTTCACTTTAAAATCTCTTCTTGACCATAAATTACTGGAAAATCCAATCATTAGGAACCACCAAATACCTACAATCACAAGCAAGTTTCAGGGAACAGATCATTTTAATACACATGCTAAGTTGTTGCTGAGAAACAAAATGACACTCACCCCAGCTAGGATATCTTTTGAGAGTCGAGGTTTGCTTTGCGCTATATTATCTGCGACTGGTCGCTTCTGTGGGAATTGACGAAACACTTTTGTTGGCTGCTGGCTAACAGGGAGCTCATAATGGGTTCCAGATTCTTTTTGCACTTTTTGCTTCTGTGAGGATAAAAGAAGAAATAAATATGGAGAGTTTTCTAAAATAAATGATACACTAAAAAACGCAATCTAAATGAACAGAAAAGTGAAATCTAGGATCTAAACTACATCTCTGTCTCAAGAATATATATAACTGGGAAGTGAATTGTACAAATTAAGATTTTTGACCTGCTTTATCCACTAATATTAAAAGTCGTTTAAAGTCATCCACACTATCCCCCATAAAACTTAGCAATGCTAACAATATACTCAAGGACGGACAAATATATCAAATACAGAAAATTTCATAAGATGTTATGAAACAAGAAACAAATCAACACTGATTGTGCAAACAAGCAACCCATATTATTGAGGTGTACACATTGTTTACCTTCTTTAATCGTTCTTCTATAGAGCTCAGAGCACGGGACTTATCAACTTTAGACAGATAGAAATCCCGCTCCCTCTTTGCAGCAGAAATTTCTAGAGCTAGTTTCTGCTCTCGAACAGCACTCTTGTAAGCTGCAATTTTAGTATCTCAACTTAGAATTGTAATGAACTGCAGCAACAACAAGCATTAAAAAACTAAAAGACAAAGGAAATTTCAACAAGTACTGTACCAATTTCTTCAGTAAGATCATCCCATTTGAATTTTCTTAGGTACTTGATATTCCAAAGATCATAATAAAACGAAGACCTTTTCCTTCCACCTAAACAAGAATAAGAAATAAATGCATTGAGTAAGAAAGATGTAGCATAATGAAACCACTGCAATTAAAGATGAAAGAGCACCAGGCAAGATATAAGCGAACTCAAACCAAATGATTCTCTAAAAGTGAGAGGATAGAGCAAAAACTGAGCCAAGAAAGGTAAAATGAGATAGAAAAAATGGCACTAAAAGTTAGAAAAAAACCAAACGTTACTGGTTTATCACATTTAACGACAAATATCTGACTCATTTCTGAATTAAAAGTCTATAATCAGGGCACTATCAGGGATTAATAAAACCTGTTGGCCAATTTTAATGATAAAAATAAAACTGCAAGTGCTATTCCTGGTGAAGTATCCATACCAATTTGTTCACCATTTAACATATTAGCAACCCTCTTTGCAACACTTTTCTTGGTGAACTCAACCCACCTACATAAAAAGGACAATCATATGACGGTATGCCAGCAAAAAAGGATGTAATGCACCTTAAAGAGCCAAAAATAATGGAAGACACAATTCAACAAGAGACATCACATTTTCTGGAGTTGGCAAAAAAACTTATGTAATTCATAAATGAGCACTCTACAATCAACTTTTAATACTAGTTGCAGATATCTGCCATATTGATTAGAGCATATTCATTCAAACATACATACCCTTCTGAAAAAACTTGTTCTTGAAATCCACCATCTCGCTTACGATTTACTCGCTTACGAGGTACTTGGGCTGCAGGACCTGTAATATAAAATCAACAGATCATTGTCAGTTAATTAAATTTCACTAAAACATAGTTTCACTCTCTTCCTAATGGAAAAGAAAAAATTAAATAAATAAATAGTTTCTCTCAGCTTAAGCTAACAGATTTGGCACATTAAATAATTTTGACTAATCAAAACAATAAAAAGAGAAACAAAATAATTATTTCATTGTCGGTATCCTGTATTGTGTGTTCAGTCACAAAGAAACAATCACCTTCAGGTACAAGATAAATCCGCAGTATCTCCCCATATTGAGAGAGAATCTGACGAAGCTTTACATGATCCATGTGCGGAGGAATTCGACTCAAGTAGCAAACTCCGCGTTGTTCAGCCTTAGCAGCTTCCTCTAATAGTCGCTGCTTCCTTTTACTTTTACGATTCTCTTGCTCTTCCTCACGTTCATTAGCTCCCCCTAACAACGCATTCTCTGTCTCATTCGCCCCATTATCTGAACCTCCATCAGTAGATTTTGGATTAAACTCCTCAGGAATACTCTCTCCATCTCCCTCTAATTCATCCTCAGATTTATTAGTTTCCTTCAACAATCCTTTATTTCTTCTATTTTTCTGTTTTTTCACCCTTTCATCATTTGATTTTAAATTCCTCTCCTCCAGAGCGCTCATTCCCGTAATTTCGTTTTTCTCCACATTAGCAGCCTCCTTCAACAATTTTTTGTTCCCTTTAGTCCATCCACTTTCTAAAACGGCATCATTAGGTTTTGAATTCTCTTCCATCAGCCGCTCTCTACTAACATCTTGGCTTTCCTCAGCCTCCACCGTTTTCTTTAACAATCGTTTTTCCTTTTTCTTTTCCCATCTATTTGCACTCCTACCACTTGATTTTGGACTATCCCCAGTGATAGGCGAACTAATTCCACTAATCTTGTGCTCTTCCTCTGCCATTCTGTTTATTGAATTGAAACAAGCAATTACACTTAAAAGACCACAGAAGGAAACATGTAATCAGTATATTAAAAAAAAAAAAAATTAACAAAAGAAGCGGCGATAAAGAATACACTGGCACTATCTGCTGCCGCAGGGCGATGTGGGCGTAAGGTGGTGAGTTTTAGCGATGGAGAAAGAATGCAGTGTTTTAGTTTAAGGGTTTCGGCTTTTATTTCTTTATTTATTTTAAATTATAAAGACCGGGTCCCGGGTACCTGATCCGGGTATTTTGAAACACCCGCCAGCATGGCATATCCGGTGAAGTCATTGAAAAAGCCCAAAATCTTCCGTTAAGCCACAATATTTTTAATTTTTTATATCATCTACACTTAAATGAGCCAATTTGGTTGCATAATAAAATACGAAAAACAATATTTCAGGGCGATAACTAGAATCCCCACATTCTATACATTTTTATTTTTTATTTTGCTCCGAATTTTATCAAATGAGAATAATTTATCCACACTTCCTGTATATCACATTGCAACTACTTTTAAATGACTTTTAAATGCCAGAGTGACTCGATAGAGATTTTTAAATGAATTATTAAAAATATCTTAAATTCGAGTACCTTTCCTATTGCAAATAGAGATAGTCGCTGAAATTTTTATCCGATCAATAGTTTTAAGACTCTGAAAAATTAGTTGAGATATACGTAAATTGATCTGCACACTCCGATTATAAAAATAAATAAATAACACGCTGCTGACTTCTAGTCAATCAAGAACCACATATTTGGTCGATTTATTACAAGCCTAGACCTTAATTATGCAAAAAAAAATACAGATAAAATAGATTTCCAAATATCTGATAGTATGAATGAAGGATCCGATTAACATCAAATTCTGACATTATGGATAACTTTGCGGATGAAACTTGGTGTCACATTTCTGCTTCAAAAATAATAACAAGGCTACGTAAAGCAAAACTATTTATCACAGACTATGCTGGTGGTGACCGGTGAATATATCCTCATCTTCCAACCGAGTTTGTCAGTCCATCTTAGGCAACTACTGTGTCCGTGTCTGTGTCTGCCGTCCGAAATTTGGACGTAAGTTGTCATAGGTATGAAAAACTAATAGCAGTCTTGGATCATCTTCGGGTATCTGCCGTCCCTGCAATTTCCCCAGGAAAAAAGATAATAAGAATCATGTAAAAATCTTCACAAATTTAAAGATCCACCATCACAAAAAAAAAAAAAAAAAAAAAAGTTCCCGTAGGTCTAACTTTAAATTCCTTTTCATCTACCTAGGGAAGTTTCAACCTTTAAAGCTTAGCATAGGAATGTGTAGATTAAACTCTAAAAGAGACAATACTTCAGATGTCAAAAATTCTGGTGAATACTAATCACGGCAAGAAGACTTACTTTTAAGCCATAATAATATGCTTCCACCGCTGCAAATGATAGAGGAATTTTGCGAGCTTGCATCATGTCCCAAATCAAATTTGCAGTGGTATATCCACCCGTCTGCATAAAAAGACAATAGAAACATTAAATAAAAGGTAGTCAATAAGTATCATTTTAGATGGAGTAAAACAAAAACTAGCCACAGGAATCCATCTTGTAACCATCATATTCTCTCACCTTCTCTCCAGATGCTGCAATGAGGAGGTCACTTCCCTGTTTATGGGTCAAGTAGAAGCCCTTATCATTCAGGCTTAACTGCATTCGAGAGGAAAACCGTATGATGAGTAAAACGGACCATCACAAAGATCATAATACTAATAATACATCAACAAAGATAATTAAATAAATCTACATATAACTTAGCATACCAGAGTCTTTTCGGCAAGTTGCATGCCCCTGGGAGTATACCCAACCATGGCTCCCTCTATAAGTGTCTACACCACGCAGGTTAAAAGTAGTTTAGTCTCTGTTCTCCCAAATCATCTTAATTGCTTATAAATTTTAAGGTAAATACCAACCTACTGCTCTAAATAATTTCAAATGAATTGAACTAGCAAATATGGAACAATAGCCAGTGACTAAACCAGATAGTTTAGATATTGCATTTTTCAACAAACTCACAACAAAATGAACTCCTGAACTAAGAGATAAAAATATCTTAGCCAACTGCATATATATTACCTCCCTCTCCCTTAACATAAATAAATCCTTCAATTTCTCTCAATCCAAATTGAAACTATCAGAGAACTTTGATCTTCCAAATCATTAGCCGGCAATAAATAAGTGAAAGAGGGATCATCAATCATTTAGGAGACTTAAGGATTTACAGAGGAAACAACCCGAGAACTCCAAATAGAAACATTCGTATGATAGAGTTCTGCCTTTAGCTTCCCTTTGGGCATCAATGTCAAAAGAATTTTGAGATATATTTTTTTTTCTTTTAAACTCAATTGAATCAGGAGGGAGTTTCCGGTTATTATAGTACAAGCTGATTTGGTATAGTTTTGAAAGTTGGATGTTTCTTGCCAGATTTTTAGTTGGTTCTTATTTGGGCTTTCTTATAAACATTATGAATAGTTCTTTAAGCTTTATCACACAAGACCTTCATAGTTTCTTATGAATTGAAAAAGAAAAATTGCAGATATATTCCTATCACAAAACTCACCACATATAGTTCCATCACACGAGGCTTCCCTGAATTCATATAGTCTTCAAAAGTTTTATGGCCACGATCAATGTCTCCAGAATACATATAGCACCTGAATGAAAATGGAGCCAAATACATTTTGAAATTTATTACAGTCGAAAGAGCCAAATTAAAGATTAAACGGATACAATCCAGTCAATGAAGTGTAGTGTTTTGGTATGGCGAATTACTGATCAGTTCATTCACTTAATATCTCAAGTATAACTTGAATAAAGCGCAACATCAAAAAGATTTTCTAACAATTGAGAGACATGTAGCAATTATATACGTCAGGAACAAGCAAAGAAAAAGAACCAAACAAATTTACATACTTCATAACAATAGTAGGAAAAAGCACACGAACAACACAAAAGGAAGCCCCATATATATACACCAAATGCTCAAGTTTTCAGAAGTACACGACAATGTCAATACTACATGCAACAGTTCCCACTCACAAAATGATTAACAACCAAAATTTCAAATAATGAAAAAAGAAAAAAAAATAGCAAAACTCAGAATCAAATCAGATATCTTTTGATAGTCCATATAAATGTACAAATGAATCAGTATTAAACAACATGTATGCAAATATACATAATGCATACAATAGGTATCTTAATAACAAGGTTGAGAATCCCCAAGTGTTAGACTTAGAGGCAAAAGGCCTCAATTTCAACCATAAGATAAAACTTTAAATATTATGTCCCACAAGTTTCCTGGCTACTACAGTAGTAAGATCCACAAATAGCCCCACTACTTTAGAACTCACTGAAACCATAGGAAAGATTGATAAGTTTCCAGGTATGAAAAGAATGATTAAGCAGGAACTTAGAAATTAATTAATAACAACTATACCTGATTGTCTGCATCACAATAAAGACATCAGGAACATTTCCTTCCTTCTTAAGCATCTCCAAAAGTGTTTCCATTGCCTATCACAACAAAAAAGAATATGCAAAAATTAACAGGGACAAATTGGCAGCAAGTTCTTTATGCAGCATAAAAATACAGTACTAATGATCATGAAAAAGTTCATAGTTTGGTAATGTTTTTAAGTTTGCTAAAACTAAAGAGAGCAGGGTAAATTCATTTTTTTTTTTTTTTTTTTTTTTTGAGCTGGATAAGTAAGAATGCACCCCTTCCACAATCACCAAAAGTTCATACCTACAGTTTGTGCTTGCATAGGATGCAAATACAAGCTCAATAATAGACAAACCAACCAATGAAATAGTGCTCCACGAATTTACACAAAATATTACCACTCAAACATCTAGGTTCAAGCTGAGCTTGTTCAGCGAGAAAAAGGAACCTCAACAATCCATTCACAAGTTGATGTAAGCTTCCAGTGAACAGCTAAATATGTTAAAAACGTAAATAAAGAGAATTTTATAATGATATAAACAATAAGGTATAGAATCTTTTTGGTGTCAAAATGGTATATGACATATATTTACAGTTCAACAACTCTTAAACATTTATGACAGACCCATGGATTCACAACAAAGAACTGGCAAAGAGTGGTAATAAACTTAAAGGCCACTTCCACGTAAAAGTTATTATATTTTCTTACTAAGCTTCAGCCTAATCAGAAAAGCAATATGGTACAAGTACAGACTGATTTATAGCCATTACAGACAGAGAGGATTTCTACTGTAGAAATGAAGGACTAGCATTTCTAAATCGGCAGATGTAATATAATATCATACACTTTGTCAGAGACATATATCATATTGCCAATATCATGAAAAGCAAGAAGATCATTCAAAATATAACAGAAACTTCCATGCATGAGCACAATGTAGACAGGCACAAAAAGGAAGAGAGAAGCTGGTAGAAATTGCATTGTGTAGTAATGATAAATCAAGCTAAAATGTGAGATATTACCTCTACATTTCTAAGCTCAACACAAGCATGAAATGCAACATGATATACAGTTAGTTGCCTATTCAAAAATCCTCGTTTGACTGCATAATCAGCCGTGGGTAAATTGTACAATTCTTCTTCAGAAACGCCCATCATTACATTTTCTGCATTGGTACTTGATTCTTCAACAGATGTCCAACCCTTTGACGCTTCTACAAACTCAATAATCTTTCAACATAAAGAAGCCATTAGAAAAGCTTTTAAAAGCAAAATGAATTCATATTCAAAGCAGATGGAAATGTTATAAAATACTTTGGCGGCTGTATCAACTGTTCGAGGTGTCTTATTAATATGTGCAGCTATAAGTCCAGCATAGCAGAACTTATTTAACCCGGCACCAGCTGCAGTCATATCACGAACAATTGCATATCTGTAAAATTAATTAACACAAGGATGAACATAGGCAGGTTGATAAAGCAACCCATTACAGGACACAACATGATAGTAGCCTTCAATCAACGAGACAGATATTGACTCAAGAAGATAGGCACACAGAAAGACTTCAGTGGTTACTTGGGTCCTATGATGCACAAGGTTAGATGGTTGACATTTTCATCACCAACTAAGGAATTTTTTTTCTCCAAAACAAACAATTCTCTCAAGACTGTTTTTCCTCTACAGGGGTGTCAATTCAACAAATACGTGTGATACTGATTTTTTTGCTAGGAACATGAGATACTAATTAATACAGAAAAAAGTACATCATTTCAAGAGTGATGATCTCAACAAATACCTCATATAAATGACTAAATTTATCAGTGAACCAAGTAGCAACAATAAACTATTGTTAGCTTGTCGAGAAAGCATTAAAAAATTTGATTAGCTGGTAACGAGCATAGCCCATCAACTGATGTATTGCATACAACCCAAGCCCACCTGATCAGAGGAGCCCTGAGCTAAGGATCTGACATAGCCACTGAACTAAAAGAGAGAAGAGTTGGACCAGAAAAGAAGAAACAAGAGTTGGACCAGAAAAGAAGAAACATACACTCGATCTATTCGGCCAGCTGCAGCACATGCATTAAGCAAACAGACATACGTTGGTCCATTTGGCTTAACTTCATCGCTCTTCATTTCTTCAAAGATCTTCAATTAAAAGAGGAGCAAAATGCAAAAAGGCAGACTCGAAATATTAGAAGTTTAAAAAATCTGGTTTTAGTTTCTGATAAAATTAAACACACAAACATACCCGAATTGCCTGGTCACAGTTCTTACATTTCCCACAGGTTGATATTAAAAAGTTGTACAAAGTAACCTATTACACAGACATATACAGCCATCACAATTAACAAACAGAAGTATGTAACAAAACACAGTAATGGAAAATTTAGCAGTAAGAACTTGCAGAGTAACTAAGGATGCGTTCATTTAAGTTTTTGCAAAATGACTTGTATTTTCTGAATTCAAACAGCAAGAAAAACACGTTTGGTAACAGTTTCTTAGAAAATGTTTCCAAAAATTCAAACCAATAACATCATAAAAGTGACATCGTACAACATTTTTCGCCAGTGATTATTTTCATAATTTGAAAGAATGTTTTCAAGTAATTACATAAGCAACTAAAATTCATATACAGAAAAGTTCATTAAAATTCGCAAAACTGCTTAAATTGAAGCAAAGAAAAACGAACACACATCAGGAAGCGAACCACCGGCTTTCATTTGATCTTTAAAATAAAGAGCGTCCTGCAAGCGACTGCCTTTCATGGTCCCAGCGATTAGCGAATGAAAAACGTCGCGTGTGGGCTGCACGCCGTCCAGCAACATATCATAATACACGTCTCTCAACAAGTAGTGTTTTCTCTGAGCAGCCACTGACAAGACCACCGTGTTGTACTCCGAGAGATTGTTCGCGTAGTTTCGCCTGGCATAAGCCTCCGTTGAAGCACATAAGAAACGGCGGCCCAGGGCTCGGCCCAGTGATCTGTGGTGACCTGCTCAAAAAGGAGCAAAAAAGAATGAAATAACTTATAAACATAGGAAGTTTGAATGGAAGTGGAGATGTGAAGTAATAATGTTACTGTAAATCGATTGGAGGAGTTTCATGGCGGAAGGAGAGTGAAAGGGTTTAGTGCAGAGCTGGATGTTCAAGATTTTAGAACAAAGAAGAAAAGCCCTTTTGTGATGGCATGAAACGCACCGTTTATGTAGTTTCTTAAGTTAAGCCCAAATGATTATCATGGGCCTACCAATAATACTGAAGCGTGAAGCCCGTTCACTTGTTAGGCTATGTTGACTTATTGGCCCAAGTTGCATGAAAATGAACGTAAATATAATCATTTTTTTTTTTTTTTTTTTTATAAATTCGTATTACATTATTTTGAATGAATAAATTGCCTCAAATATTTAACTATTTAAAGTGAATTAATCCAATAATTTAGAAATTATATTAAAATTCATATATTTGAAATAAAAAGTGACACCCTTGAAATTATTCTATTAATATCTTAGTTATAAGATATGAAACATTTTAAGTGTTTTTTTTTTTTTTTTTTTCATTGGGGGTGTTTGGGCTAACTTACGCATACCTCAATTAATCATCTAAGGCCCTAGAATTACTAGTCGAGAAAGAGCCCCTAGAATTATTGACCGGGTAAGAGTTTTAGGGTCTGCTTGGGAGTTTTTATGGTAGCGATTATGAGGGTAAACCATCGTAGCAGTTTTGAAGGGTTTTTATTAGCGGTTTTTACTTTTTAAAACACTCAACCTGTGCTTGGGAGTTTATTTTTCAACGGTTCAAACAGTTTTTTTTAAATAATAAATTTACATAAATACCCATAAAGTTAAAACACTCTCTCTTTTGCTTAATTAACTTTGAAGTTATAAATTTGACTTGCATGTTTTTAGCTACTCAGTTTGTGAAAAAGGTGTCTTTACAAAGTTGTACTTATGTTTCTTATTTAACACCTGGTTTTGGGTTTTACTTCTATTATCATTAGTCTGTGTCATGGTTATCCGATTTAGTTAGAGTAGAAGACGCTATAATTATCAAATTGGAATGCTGGACATAGTTTTGACTCCTGTGAAGAATAATAACAAGCAAATAAAATTTGAAAAGAAAGGAAAGATTGTAAATTAAGTTAAATGGGAGAAACAGATTGTGATCAAATACTGGATACGGTTTGCTTGAGAGGCGTTGAAAATGGTGGTTTTTAAATAGCTGGTGAATTGACAACTATTTCTTTTCAGGTTTTGAGAAGATGTAATAGTTAATACATTATTATTATTGAAAGGATTTTTTGAGAAAGAAACTATTGGAGTTGTTTGTTTAATTGTCACTGAGAACTACTGCATAAATTCCTTATTCTAATGTATCAACAGCAGCCAGAGATTTGTGTCCAGCAAAGGGAGTGGAAAGGGGTTTTTTTGAGATAAAAGTTTTAAACCAGCCAAAACACCCCGATTTGGAGTGTTTTATAAACCCCTCAAAAATATACTACATTGGTTTTAGAGGATTTTTAAACCAATCAAAATCAGCCTATTAAAAATCTAGCAACCAGGGATTTTTAAACACCTCAAAACCAGTCTAATTAAAAACCTCTTAAAACCAGTGAAAAAAAATCTTTCAAACAGACCCTTAATGACCACTTCTTTTAGTGTTTATGGGGCTGAACTCAGCAGCTCTCTTTTATCATATAGGGCCATTGGGGTGGTTCACTATTTTAAGTTGAGGTTTTTGGAATAAAGAAATCCTACAAAACCCAAGTGTCATTTATTGAGAAGACAAGAGCTTTTACTCCCATCCTCCAAATGCTTATTATATATAATATAATAAAATTGCATGTAAATTTTATTTGTGGTTGTGTTATTAATGGATTAGTTGTGGCATCACATTCTCTCTTAACAAGAGGTCCATGCATAAACTTGTATCTATATTGGGTGGTCAAAATTATATAACATGATATATCTAAATCTCTCAGACCATTAATTATGGAGTCACATGATGAGATGAGCTCTCCTAACTTGCCTTTGAAATTTACAGTAAAATCAAGATACAAAAATCTCTATAATTTGTCATATGCATCTAATTAAGAAGCTTCAATTTTGCAAATGGTTTCCAAACTAGGAGGTGTTTTTTGTAAAATCATTTTCACTCCCAACTTTCCATCTTCCCAAACATCATTTTCTCAAATTAATATTTTCACTCTCCGCTATGCTCATTCTTGAATATTGTGTTTGTGTCCATTGCCAGCTTCCAAGAGAACAAAAGATGAACAGAATAGCATTATAAAAAACTCTCTTTTGTTATTTGGGGTGGCAGTTGAAATGATTCATCAATTTCTTAATCATTTGAAGCCAATTAGGCTACTATCAACAGCTCTTTCATGCAAAAACAAAATGAAAACACTTTACAGTACTAGTACTAAAATTAACTAATTAAAAGGCGCACATGCAGTGGTGAAGAAGAGACTCGATCCATTCCTTAAGCGACCCTGGAAAGAGAGAAGCCTGAAGGCAACCCTTGAAGCTTAAGTTGATTGGCTTGGCAGGATTCTTGAATGCTCTTCATGGAGGTAGGATTAACCTGCAAGAAGAGATAATTCCCAGCAAAAATATCACCAAAATGGGACTGACTTTCCTTCAATCTCTTCAACAACTTCGCGCACGACCCTCTAAAAGCAGACACCACCCTAAACTTCTTCCTCAATATCAGCCTCCTCAACCTCGGAACCTTCAATCTGAATCTCTTCCTCCGAATCTGCACAGAATTGAAGGGCCGGTACCAACTTCTGGGTTTAAGGATCACTCTCGCTCTTTCATCATAACCAACATGTCCTTCTTCTTCCAGGCCATAATATTCATCATGATGTCTCAATCTTTGATAAGGAAACATAAGTAAATCTGTTTTTTGTAAAGAAGGATATGATTCTCCAAGTGAGTCTGCGAGAATGTGAAGCTGTGACTTCTGAGATATGAGTGGTTGGTTTTCTCATCTAAGCGGTGTGAATAAAAGGGAAAAAGGAGGTGGGTGGTTTGTGGAAGCAGTTGAAGTGCATTCAATGCCAAAGCTGGTGAGGTGGGGATTTCATGCCTTACATTATAAAACATATATTATCGTAACTGGATAAATTAATTCTTTTGCTAGTTTCAAGAACTTGTACGTGGTTCAGAAAAATTCTAGGAGGGTAACAGCTGAAAATTGTATAATGAGTAGTTATCTGGAGTGGGTTGGGGTACACCATCCTAAAGCACAAAAACAAATCTTAATTAAACTAGTTTAACCTCTAAGCAAATAAAAGGCATGCATAATGAGAGACTCTTTGAGGGTAGGAATTAAAAATTCGTTAGAAAAATATAAAAGCCATTGAAAATAAAAACCCACCCACGTGAATATTCATTTATGGATATTTAAAACAATGTGGGCAATTTAAAACCCCACAACCACCAGAGGATTACAATTTACAACTATAAGAATAAATAGATGTCACCACTCACCAACCTCAACCTGAACTAATTTCTAACTGTTCGGTAAAACACAGTAAATTTCTTCACCTATAGCTCACGTTATTTATACAAACCACCAATCTACTTCATAAATCAAATTCCATTTCTCATCTCTTTATATCTTTTACTGCAGCAAACTTCATTAAAAAGGTAACTAAATTGGAACAACTCATCAGCCAAAACACTAAATGTAAATGAACATAAAATATATATTAAAAAAAAAAAAAAAAAAAAGTATGTACATTAGCTGAGTCTGAGGGTTTCAATATCTCCTGTAATTAACAAACATAGACAGAAGAAGCCTCTTTTTTTTTCTTTTGGTAGGAATCTGAAGCTGAATTCAGCGCGCCATGGGTGATGAACTACAAAGAATTTCGGCAAGTAATTAATACTTCATAAACATAGTTATGTAGCTTAGTAGAGCTTAATTCTGGTCTGGATCGGGCTTCGACATAAGGGACATAATTCAAGGTCCTCTCCACATTCACAACATGTCTGACCAAAGAAACACAGAAAATAAAAATGTCAGTATTTCTTCTCTTAGTATATTTCCTTCACACACTATGACAGAAAAAAATTAGGACTACAGGCTGGGATCTACCTGATGACCGCAACCAAAGGCCATATCCTTCACATTAGTAAGGCAAATGACGCATAGCTGTCCAAAATAACATAAAATGTCAGCCCAAACATTCATAATCAATGTAAAACTCCATCATGAAGATGTGTATTTTATTTATCAAAGCAGGAAGAAGTTTCTAAGTCAACAGGTTGCAAACTATGGACGCTTACAAGCTGAATACAAGTCAATGTTAAACATTGATCAGTCAATTTATTGCTTATCTGCTTTTTTTCTAGCAGACCAACTAGGAATCATAAAGAATTACGGCAGTATCTCCAATATATTAACTGGCCGACATTAAATCAAAAACCTCACTCAAAAATGTGATAAACTAGTCTAGACGCTATTGATTTAATTTAGGTAAGAGCAAAGCACAAAGATACACTACACTTCAATCAAAAAATCATTGTAATTTCACGGAGAAAATGGCCTAGTTGGCAATGTTGTCAACTTTTTGCTTCTCTCTTATGGCTATTGAACCATTTTTTTCAGTGACATTATCCAGAGCAAGGCCCTCCATCGTGAAGCGAATGCAGATATTAAAGCAGTACACCTTAAACTCTGGAACGTGTTAGGATTGGGGTAACTCATCTAAATAAAATGATAAGAGCTAGTTTTCAAGGAAAGGACTGTTTTCTTGTAACTGCTAGAAGTAAAGACCAATTATGCAATAAGAACAAAGCACCAAGCATGCTTTATTTATATTGAACTTGATGCATTAAAGCTCTCTTCCCCAACACCATCTAATTCCTATTTAATGTACTGTCCAACGGCAGCTTGTTAAAGAAGTTAAGAAAACAACTTAGATCATTCTGTCCAAAAAACCTCAATACCTGATTATCATATGTAGAACTTGTAGCAGGAGGAGCTGAGCTGACAGGCTGACTGTCCCTTTCATAAGGAGCATTTGGCTTGAAACTGGTAGAGGTAGAGTAGGAAGGTTTTGAGCTGCTGACAGACATTGCACCATATACAGGTGGAGGAAGGGGAACTCTCTCTGGAACATTTCCCGTCCGGCGACTGTGCAAGTAATAAGACAACAGTGACAGTAAAATTTAGGTCAATAGATATTAAAAAATAAAAATAAAAACAAAGAAATTCAGAAATAATAATAACAATTGCAAGAATCACTCATTACCCTAGTATATTAAGCTCTATTGTTGCCTTATACTGAGAGGGAATCTCCATTAAAGCAGCAAGCGCAAATTCTGTTTCCTTTCGAGATTGTTCATGATTCTTTGACATGATTTCCGTAAAATTCACAAACTATAGAAAGAAAACACACACACAAAAGCGATTACCAACAAAAAGTCACACAACCATATGACAAGGGTAAAGAAAAATAATCATGTCCAGATGCCTACCTGGAAATTATCAAAAGCTCGGGCAGGTATGTTATCATCAAATTCCTTCATCATGTCCCAGGGCCCATCCCCTACCCCAACTAGAACAATTGACAGAGGAAGCTTGCTAGGATAAAACAAAAAAAAAATAATCAGTGCCAGACAAACAAACTAATACCAGCAACATTAGGAGCCAAAATTCACCTGGCTTGTACTATAGCCTCAACTGTCTTCTGCTCCTGCGGACTCAATTGGCCACGCTCAGTATCAACACTTCTAGTTACCTGAGACAACCATCAAGTTGGGTGAACCCAAAATTACAACAAAGATCCAACTGTCTTAAGATAAGCCACCTATTAATGCATAGCAAGAATGGTAAAAATGACAGGATTCTATCAGCTTCTATCAGCTTTACATCCAGAATAAATAAGTTCAATTCTTTCTCCGATTCATTTTCAATTTGAGTAACAGACGATTGTAGTAATCCATTCCTCTAATTGTTTACAGATCTAAGATTATATTTATATTTGAGGCAAATACCTGCCCATCAGCAATTATCAATAATACATGATACTGGCCACGACTCTGCTCAACAATTGTCATGGCCATATCAATTACAGGGGCAAATGACGTTGGTCCTGTCACGAAAAAGCAAAAAGCGTAAGCTCTAGGACCAAAACAGCTAAACTTGAAAGAGATACTCCAAAATAAAAAACATGGCACTAGAAGGATACAGGTCAAACCTGCAAGTCGTAAATGAGGCACAATTTCCCTATACCGACTTAACACCTCCTCAAATCCATTACAAAATCCCTCATCTGGAACGAAACTGAAGACATCTTGATCGTGTGTTGATGCTACCATTATAAGAAAGTGATGCTTATCAACCACACATTTCAGACAAATAAAACGTTACAAAAAATAAACTAAAAATAACAGTGAAGTAAAGCATACCATCCCCGAATCCATAGCACGGAATCAAGTTATCCTCATCAAATGCAGCTAAGGTTTTCCCAATAATGGATATTGCTTGTTGATAAGGATTTAAACCATCTCCAATATGATGCAAGCTTCGTCTGTTATATGATCGTGCACCTATTTATCAAACTAGTTTCAGCATGCTTAACTAAGGCCATAACACAAACTTCAAGCACTGAAGAAAGAACTTCACCTGTCCACTCATTGCTCTTTGTAAAATCAATGCCAACAATGAGATTAGATGATTCAAGGCCAGCACGAGCAAGAGCCTCAGTCACCTACACAAAAGGTTAATCAATTTTTATAAGCAGTTTACAGAATGTTAAGAGTTGATATAATGGAAGATGCATCATTTTAGGACTTGTAAAAGCCATTCAATTATCATACAAAGAAATAAGGAATTCAGAACTACATGAAAATAATAAATAATAGTAAAAAAGCCTAGTTCATCTACTCAAGTGCCTCTTGTATGCAACATTACCTGATCTAAGGACTTGTAATCATCAGCAATTCTTGAATACCTCCTATCAAGCTTCCTTGTGTTACCACTGTATTGTTCAGAAGAGGGATTATACTGTTCTGACGGATATGTTTGCTGGGGTGGATAAATCTGACTTTCTTGACCGTACTGTGGCTGGGAATACCCGGGTTGAGAACCCCAAATCTGACTTTCTTGACCATACTGTGGCTGAGAATTCCATGAAGACGAAGTCGACCGAAACGATGAATTCTGCCTCCAACTGGACCTCGAGTTTCCGGCTCCCATCAACTAGTATTATCTACAGAAGTTCACCAATTTCTAACAAAATCCACTACTCTCCTTCACAGCACAGCACAGCACACAAATATTTACTCCAATCTGAACCAATACCTATAAAGCAAACACCACTAGACCTCAAACATAAAAAACTGAATCTGAAATTCTGTTATCAAAAAATGCAACAAAGCATACTAAATTAAGCAACAAAATTACTAAAATAATTCTCAATTCTCTCTCTCACTAACTTTTAAAACAATCCACTTCTCTCTTTTACAATTAAACCCACCATAGGTGCCAAACCAACCAATCCAAATCAACACCACAAGCGTCTCAAAGAACCACCCCTTTATAAGAAATAAAAGGGTGTTTGGCAATGCAAAGGAATGCAATTTCCAAGAAAATTCTATATTCTTCCAATTCCTATTTCTTAAAAATACCTACTTTCACACTCACACAATTCAACACACCGAATCAAGAAAACCGAACTGAACAAGATTAAGCTGTAAAGAGCAAACACAATATAGCTTAAACGACAAGCCTAGAGAAAATATAACAAGAGAATAAAAAATTTTCCAAGAAAATTCGTCACATCATTTCACATCATTACGGAATCAAACAAAAGACTAGATAAAGAAGGCGACTTTAGATGCATGACTTATCCACGTAACCGCTTGTAACGCCTTAACAACAAAGCTTCTAATCTAAGCATCAGCATTATTTACTTTGAAACCACTTCTTATATTACAATCACACTTAATTCATCACAAGACTCCATCTTTGTCACCGTAGTCAACAAGAAACAATAACTACAACCAAACGAACCAACAATGGGTTCGCCGAGTGGTAAAGGCTTGAGGCAAAGGGGTTGCTTTCCTGTGGTCTCAGGTTCGAATCACAACGGTTGTTGATATTGTTGGTCACAGACTGCAGGGCTTGCCCTGTTTCGGAAGCCTTGTTTGGGTCGAGAGACTAATTGAGGTGCACGTAAGCTGGCCACACACCCCCGGTAACGTAAAAAAACAAAAAAAACTACAACCAAACGCACCTCACACCCTATTCAATCATTTATCCATTCACACACTTTAAAACACACAGAAATAACCAATCCGCGAAAATACATGGACAATTAGCGACATTGTTCAAGATCTGTTAATAGGAAAACCCTAACTCCGTTCAAGTTAAAATGCAAGTTACGAAAGAGAGAAAAAGGAGTCTGGAAAGTACCTACCTTTACGCAAAGAAGTCGATGAAGAGGCGAGTGTCAGTTTGTAGCATTGCCTCTGGCTATCCTTCTCAAGTAATGGACTGTAGTGAGTGGAGATTCCTTCAGCTTTTTCTGGTACTTTCCTCCTTGAAAAATAATGGTTAAAATAATAATAATAAAAAGTAAATAAACTTTTAATTGGCTTTAAATTTCTGGTCTTTTAAAAATTTACGAAGAATATGCAGGAATGATTTGTTTGTTCAGAGAGAGAGGGTAGCACATGGAGGTGGTGCTATCATTTTAGAAGTGCTTTTTTCCGTAGTGGATGCCGGCCCGGGATACACATGAAGAGGATAAACAGATTTCAATTATAGTGAGATTTATGATGTGGCAATTGGCATTATCTTTAGATATACTCGAGATGCAAAGCAGCGGTTTTGTTTGGCTGCGAAAGTGACAACTCTACCCTTATTTCATTTTTTATTTATTTTAAATTAAATAATTTATTTAGTACATATTTAAATTAATTTCACGTTTGGAATTCGTCGTGAAGTATTTTTGGAAATAAATAAGACAACTTTTACATCATAGTCTAAGATTGATTGGAATCAATGCAATATATTGTAATATTTTACGATAGAATAACGTGTTTCTTATTACACAAAAGTAAATATTCTGAATTATTATTATTATTTTTTGTTTAATGTGAAATTAATAGGAGAATATTCGATTCAATAAACTACAGTACAAGTATAGGAATAAGATGCTTAAATTACACGAAATTCAAACTCCACAATTATTTTTGGTGCTGCTTTTTAGATAATAATGGTAATGATCTGCCATCATTTATCACTATTATGTTTATAAAGTCAAAAAGTTGCTTCATTCCCTCGTGCCAAATATCAATTGCTAGCTAGCCTATCTCCATTACTATTATTTTCCTCTTTTTTTTTTTTTTATCAAATAAAATATACGAAAATAAATAATAATATATAATATAATTTAAGTAATAAAATAATATTTTAAAAATACGTAAGGATAAAGTATCATTAACTATTATTTTGATGAACAAATTGTTTACTTTTGTTATTAAGCCTAAATTTAATTTTGCTTTCTGTTTCATTTTAAGTGATGTTTTAAGACCTTGTACAATTTTTTAGAAAACAAATTTTTCTCTCCTCATACTGACTTTTTCACTGAAATTACAATGAAAAAATTTTGATTCTCCCGCTGATTTTCACCTGCATTTGAAAAAGAAAGAGAGAGAGGAGATAAGGGCTGAGAAAAAGTGGAATACAAAGGACAGTGGAATTGATCGAGGAAGAGAGAGAGAGAGGATGGAGTAGTCAAACGACTTTTATTTTGGTAAAAAAATACTTTCATAAAACGTCTATTAAAATGAAACGGATGGAGTATAATTTTATGTAACAATAACCGACTTAATTTTGTAATACCAGAAAGCTTAATCTAAGTAAATCACCCACAAAAATCTGGTTTAAAATTGGTAAGATGTGAATCATCCTCACATGCCGCACACAGTTTATGCGGCACACGGTTATATTTTCATCACCATAATTCTTAAAATATAATTTGCACATGGGGAGACTAAAATTTAATTTTGGTGTCAATGAAAAGTTGTGGAACCTGCTTAATCGGTCAATTCTAGATTTCGTGTCTAAATAAAATATATTTTGATATCAAATTGGTATAAATATAATATGTTATCATATAAATATATAAAAACTTATGATAATATAAATTTAATGGAATGAAGTTTACACGTTACAACATAAGGGAAGGTTCAAGATTTCTTCTCTACACGTGAAAAATGAAAATAGCTACGTTATAATTGTCAGGAGATCCTTATCTATAAATTATATAATCTTAAATCTTAATTATAATGGATTTTCAATTAAAAATTCAGGTTTCAATTTAAGTTTTGAAAATTTAAAATTATCGCGGATTTGTTTTGTGGTGTTAAGAGACTTGAGATTTAAGATCGGGGTTGAAGATAGAGATTTTTGTAGAATTATTATTATTTTTATTAATTTGAATTTATAAAAGAGTAATGCTACAGTTATTTATGGGGTGCAATTATTTATGGGTGTACACCGATTTTATGTATCGAATGACGTGGCAACATCTTGATCGTTGATTTATTATCAGTTAATATTAACCAACGGTCAAGATTTTACCACGTTATTTGATATACAAATTTAGTGTAAATTTTTCGAAAACTATCATTTTTTTTTTATAGAAACACGCACGGCATGGCCTTGTCTTGAATTTACAAAGCCAGAGCCAGACCCGGATAAGCCCCGACTCCTTATTTACAAGAACCGGGCCAGTTCCTAACATGACCAGGCACCGCCCAAGTCTTTTTGTTGAAGCCTAATTGAACCATTGAAACACATGCTTTTTGCGTAAATCCTCTGGATTCAGGTCACAATCACAATATAATAGATAGAGATGAGAATTTGTAGATAACAAATCGCCGCCGTTCCCTTTAACCTTGGGTAGCATATTTTTTACCAATTTAAGGCTTATATTTGCAAAAAGCATATCCCCGTGGGAAGTAAAATGCTTATTATATCTTATATAATAAACAACGCTAAAATATTTATATAATTACTTAAGACTGGAAACAACAATATAGCACAAAGCCACCAAGGTTTATTTCAAATTCCATTTAACCATGAACATTCAATCCATCTTGTGGATAAACATGGGGCTGTCAATCGAGAGCCGCATGCTACCAACAACCATGTAAACCCAGACAGGGGAAGTAGCATAAAGTCATGAATATGTCACGGTCAAAGAAAAAGCAAAGTTTAGGACTTACATGGCTGCCTGTTGTCACAGGCCAAGCGTTTTACACCCCAAAGTAGACTTGGGCAAGGACGGGTCCCAGGCCCACGAAAAATTTCAAGAATTGGACCGATCCCTAGGACTAGTCCTGGGCCGTTAGGACCAGTCCTATGGGCCTGAAAATTACTTTGACCCCCCAATTTTTTTTTATATTTTGAGGCCAAAAAATTGAGTAATGCTAGCCTTACTCCCCCTTCTTACTCATTTCTCTTACTCACTCATGTGGTAGGTGGGTGTAAGAAGAGAGAGAAGAGAGTAAGAAAGGAGATTAATATGAGTGAGTAAGAGAAGGAAGTAAGAAGGATGAGTAAGGCTAGCATTATTCAAAAAAATTATGTTGAAGGGGTTTATGTAATTTTTAGGGGCTTGGAAAATTTATTTCCACCCCGAGCGATTAATAAATTTTTAATTAATTTTAAAAATAATAAATTAATTAATGCTTAATTATAATTAATAATAATTTATAAATATGAGGATTTAAATTAAAACTTTAAAAAGATAATTTAATTAATTAATTTTAACATAAATGTAATATTCACACAATCATACACTCACACTTCACAAATGAAAATTTAAATAAATTTATTTTTATTAAATTATTCATCGTCAACAATGTTTACATCGTTCAAATCTGTGTTCTTGAAGAGTTCAAGTAGTTCAGGATCTTTAGGGTGTTGTTGTAGTCTTCTCTCTGCATGAGTCCAATTCCGTAAACATGTTATCACTTCAATCATCTCATTGGTTAAAGAGCATCTTCTGTCTTCAACAATCCGGCCACTCGTTGAGAATGCTGACTTGGATGCAATTGTAGAAACCGACATAGATAAAATGTCATGTGCCATTTTAGCTACAATGGAGAATCGACTTTGATGTTGTTTCCACCATTGAAGCACATCCATCTCACATTTTTCCTTCTTCGTCATGTAGGAAATGTCCATTTGTAGGTAGCAATTCAGTTCATTTGGTCCATGTATGTACGCACTGGAGCTGCTACTTTAGCCGCCATGTTCCATATACGTCCACATGCTCGATTCTTGATATTCTTGATAGCTGTCTTCATCAGGGTACTGTTGGTCGTCTCTACTGGACGTCTCTGATATAAAGAAAAAAAGTTTTCCAATTTTTGCTTAAAGTTAATCAAATAATATGTATAATCATGTCCTAAATGCTAGCCTATCTCAGTAACTATACAATTAGCTACGAGTAATTTAAATCTAGGATCTACAACAAGCCCTAATCCATATAAGAATTGAATATCTAACCAATATTTCTCATTTTTTTTTTACAATCTTTGAAACAATTTCCATTAAGATGTCATTATATCTATATTTAGCAAAAGTTTTAAAAATTTGAAGTAAAATATATAACGCTAAATTAGTAGTAGGATAATAAATACCACTTAATGTATTGGTGGATTCATAAAAAAGTTCGCAAACCATCTAATCATCATAGCTAACAACTTCTTACGGATTATTCTGGTTGACGAAATCTGTAATTTGTGTTGCGTTTGGCAAAGCTTTTTCCAACATCAAGTAGGTGAAGTTCCAACGGATAGGCATGTCCGTACATAACTTCAAAGGTCGAATCAGTGGATCCTCTTGCTTACAATATTTGACGTACTCCTGCCATCTTTTGTTGCTACTGTAGACGATGAATCCGATAGTCGTGCGCACCCATTCAATCTTCGAATTTATAGCTTTGAAGTTTGCTTTAACAATCAAATTGATGATGTTGCAAGCACATCTCTAGTGAAAAAAAATTGCCTTTACCAAGCGAATCCAATCTCTTTTCAAATAAAGAGATAATCGCGGTGTTAGCATCTATATTATCTAGCGTTAGCGCTACAACTCTATCAGTTAATACATATTCTTGCAAAACTTCAAGTATTGTAAAATAAATAGTGTCAGTATTATGTGCAGTATATAATGGTCTAAAACCTATCAATTTTTGTTGTAAACCCAACCATGAGCTAAGTAATGTATTGTGACAGTTAAAAAATATGTTTTTGATCTATAAGCCCATATATCTGAAGTAAGTGCAATAGATATATTCCTAAAATTTTGAAATTCATTTTTAAGTTGAATATTTATTTGGTTATAAAGTTTTAGTATGTCTCTTCTACTTGTACTTCTATTAACAGGGGTATATGCTGGATAAAATACAGTTTTAATCAAGTGAATAAAAAGAGGATTTTCAGATAAAGAAGGGAAGAGTCCGTAGCAACTATGTATTTTGCTATTTCCTCTCGTGCTTGGAGTGCATTGTATTGCCATGTTGACAAAGTTGAGGATTGTGGATTAAAATTAAGTTGAGCCTACTTGGTCCGATTGAAGATGAACCGGATAGATGCATTATTAAGGGGTGCTTCTTCTCCAAATGTCGTCGCATCGTCGAAGTCCATTCTCAACATCGATAATGGTTCCATTGAAATTACATACCCCACACGATTCTTCCCTTTCCTCATTTGCCTTTGTCCGTTTTGATTTGGTGAAGTATCG